AACAAAATTGAAACAAAGCTCAATCATTTTTAAATTGCCAAATGGAAATAAACTAACAAACGTAATATTCTGTATTTTTTGTCAGCTGTTACCAATTTTATACAGAAACAATGTTCCATTTATACAGGGTGATTTTAATTTATCTCGCCATATCTTCATGACGGATAGTATATAAAAAAATAAGGACACCTTTTTATATAAAATTAATTAAAATTTGAAATTAGAGTATGTCCATGTTCCAAATTGAGAAATAGGATATTTGTCAGTGTCGTTTTATATTGCAATAGTTTAACAATTTGTTAACACATTTGTACAATTACAGTGTTACAAAATGCCAAGAACTTATTCAAATTTAGAGTATGTAAATATGGTGTTTGTTAATAGTTTTGGCTAATGGGGATGCTAATGCTGCTTTTAAGGAGTTTTCAAAAAACTGTGCGAAACCACAAAGTATTAGCATAACATCTGAACGAGCTCATCGATAAGGTTTAGAAAAAGTAGAAAATATTCTGGGTTTAGTAGAAGACAGTGCAACTACCAGCTCACCAAGAATTGCTATTCAAAAAGAGTAATAAAAACCCTCCACGAGCATGACTTATGGAAGATTATGGAGTTTTGTCTATGGATCAGTAATAATCATCTTGTATCCCGCATACTTTTTTCAGATGAAGCAACATTCACCCGTGATGGCATAACTAATACTCGGAACTCTCATGTATAGTCAGACGAAGATCTTCACACAACACTCGAAAGTAATTTTCAGCATAAGTTTTCGGTAACATTTGGTGTGGTATGATGATCATCGATAGTTATTTAATTTTGGAAAATCGACTCACAGGAGTCGTCCAGTCAAGCTACGTTAATGTAAACGAGAGGTTTCCAGGGCCTTGGATTGGCCGCGATGGTCCTGTAAGTTAGCCTCCAAGATTTCCAGACCTCACAGCACTAGATCACTGTTTATGAGGCTAGTTAAAAAATGAAGCGTACAAAGTTAGAGGGAACACCCGGGAGGCACTAATTCGACGTATCATCTGCTATATTTATTAAAGAAAGATTTGCTGCAATCAGGAGAGTTACAGACGATCTTCGCAGAACAAACAGAAAGTGTTTAGAGTCAATGGCGATGTTTTTGAACATTTAATCGAAGAACGCTATGATTAATAGAATATCAATAAATTATTATGTTTTTATTGAAATGTATTGAAAATTTTTACTATTGTTCTACTCACAATTAGAGATACCGATGAATTTTATAATGGAGCATGTGATAATGGTGAATTTGCTTTACTTTTGCCGTTTTGTAGTAGGTACTTTATGTACTTAAATATTTTAAGCTTAATACCAACACTGTCAGCTTTTTTCATAGGTTACGTGTATAGAAAGCGTCAAAATGTTGTTGTTAATGGAACATCACCTAAATTGATTAATATTACTATGGGGGTACCACAAGAAAGCGTGTTGAGTCCCCCGCTTTTTTCTTTTCATACTGCAGATCCTCCGAATATGATTCAACAAGTATGTACAGTTTAAAGTCTGATGATTTTCAACTATATTTTCCTTCAGTTAAGTGAAGTGAATACTTCTGTTCATAATTTGAACCTATCAACTGGTGCTGAATCTGTTTCTAATTCGCAATAATTTATTAGAAGGACTTCCAAGATATGACAGAAAAATCTACCATATGGTACATCTACTTATTATTATAAAGGTTTTACAAGAATTGAAGATAATATTTACAGTTTCTAAGATAGCGTTCATGTGGTGCAATGATTTATCAACTTTTTATATCAACTTCTGCTGTTCGTACTATTAATAACTCTGTTTCATGTATTACGTAATTTATTATCAGCAACACTGAAAACCAAGAACCTTAAATACACACATCGGTAATTAGTCATACGAACACGCTGTGAAATCAACTGCGACGTATACGTTTTATTGTTCCATCAATACCGAATGAGTTGGATTTAATTGCAGTGGCAACTGTGACATCTTGTCCCTACCTCCATTACTCATGCACCGTTTTTGTCTGCGTATTATGCTAAATGAATCGAACTGGGTCATCTTCGTACAACATTAACTCAGCAGATGGGGATAATGCATTAAGTAGTTAATCCACCATGTTGTAAGAATTATCTTATTGCATAGACTGCAGGTATTTAATACAGTACTTAGTGCATCGAATGGAGAGAGTTGCTTTCAAAATTCAGGGAATTGTAAAATCAATATTTTATTTGAGGAATTTGTTTTTGTATTGTAATTTAACTTTGTAATTTTTCAGTACAACGAAATAGGTTTTTAATACGCTCCTCTAGTTTTTTTGTGAATCTGCAACCCATGGGTTTATAGCTTGTTTTACATCATTTAAATCCTGAAATTACACTCCCCGTGGAAGTTTTTTCAACTCTTGATATACAAAGTGTCCGCGGTTAGGGTGAATAAGAGGAAAACCTTTTTTTAATTTTAAATTTTATGGAAAAAAGGCACACTTGATAAAAAGTTTTGCTTTACTTAACATTTCATGTACGGGTATCTAGAAAATAAAAAAAATCTGAACACGTCACGAGAGTAAACTAACTCTATTTTTAATATTTCTGAAAAGTGATATTTTGCAAAAGTCGTGCAAAAAAGTTACTTGAGTTTTTAAATAAAACAATCCACTCACAAAATTGGTTCAATTTTTTAACATTATTCTAGCACTGATCCCCCAACGTTCACACAAAGATGTCGTGCAAGGAATCCATTGTAGCTGCATCTAATATTTTCTAAAGATATGGACTGTACAGCATCTCTAATTCGTTGTTTTAGCTGCTCGATGTTATTGTCCAAAGGCCTGCTATCTGTTTGAGTCGGCCCCACAAGTAAAAGTCCATGATTGTTAAGTCTGGACATCGCGGGGGCCATTGAGCATGCCGGCCAATCCAGCGATTGGGAAATGTGTTCTGTAACCAGGTCCTAGCAGTTACAGCAGATTGGGCCGGACAACCGTCTTGCTGAAAATAAAAACAATTTCGATAGGCCAGTGGTAAATTGTTCAATTCAGTAGTAAAAAACGTTTAGAGCATATTCAGGTAGCTGTTTCCATTGCATATATCTTCAAAGTATGGTCCTATTATTCCATAAAAAATACCGCACACCAAACATTTACTTTTTTGAAATATTTCCGCCTAGATAGTATTCTAAAATGAGGATTCTCGGTACTCCAATATCGCAATTGTTGTGAAGCAACAATGCCATTTGTAGAAAAAGTGGTTTCGTCCGAAAACATAATCCGTTAATGGAAATTTCATTGCATACCTCCGATCCACAGACAAAAATCGAGACGTTTCGCTTCATCGCCTTCCTCAAAAGTGTGGTTGTGAATTGGTTTGTATGACAGAATTTTATTTTGTTTCAAAATTTTTTGTATCTGGGTCTTTCTCACAATTCCTAAGTATTCTGAGCGTCTCCTCAGTGATATGGTTGCATATTCATTCACTGACACTAGCACAGGACCGGCATCTTCATCAATTTTTCTTTTGACTAGGTGTATTCGCCAGTCACCCGGTTCTCAAAAATTTTCGAACCACTTTATGTAGCACTGTATTAGATATATTTTTTGCTGTAAAGTTAGCATTTATCCGATAATTAATTACTGTTGGGGGTTTTTAACAAAGTACAGTGACACAAGAAATGTACTTAAGGACCACCCTGTCTAAATGAAAGTTTGTACAATTTTGATGCTTTCTGATAGAATGTTACCGAATTCCCCTTGCCCTGTTCATAATTTTCCAAAAAGTGCAAATTTCAGAACGGAGTAAATTGGTAACAGCATGTTACTAAAACTAAGCTTTATACCATGGGTAAATGGGTACTAAAAGTTTATTAGCGCTAATAAATCTATGACATTATTTTTCCCATTATTTACTTTACCCTTACGTTCCAGTTTAAATAATATACCGCTTTTAATGAACCGATCTGCTTGTTGTTCACAAAACAAAATAAAAATTCAGCTGCATTAAAGCTACTAAATATTTTATTGATCCGATAAAGCTCTTAGCGTACCAGTCCAAAAACATATTTTCCGAAAGTTGCCTGCATTCAGCTGAGTGCGGCAGTATTTAACAATAATGCTTTTGTTTAATATCGAAAGGGGAACAAATTCTAGTACAAGAAAATTAAAAAAATTAAAGTAATTTGAAAACTAATACACTTTTCTAATTGTAGATTGCTTTTAATTTCATTGAATTAATTCAGTTTCCCTTAAACCATAATTCCGATGTTTTTTCTATTTTAACATTTAGTCAAACACAATTTCGTTAAGAAATAAATAAAACAAATATGTATTACAAGTACAGAAAAATATAATTTTTGGTCATGCTATTAAAATTTTTATTATGACATCAGGTAAATAGATCAAGACCACAACTGCAACACAATAATAATCAAACATTGACTTCGCACACCATCATTACAGGGTTAGCTGTAGGTCGGGTTCTCTTTTATGTAACTTCATTCAAACAAAAAGTGATACAACCGTTGGTTTCTTACAACTGCACTCTTTACATTATAAGAATGTATATGATATATGTAAGTATTTGCATAATATGAGACAAAAAGGGACAGTGTCTATCAGTGTCTATTTTTCTACACTAATCGCTTCATATGAAAATGTATGTGATAATAAATACCAGTAAATGTTGAGAAAATAATAATTTCTTACTCATAAGGAAAGTTATTCTAGAAAATAATTAACGGTTCTAAATATTCCGGAGTTAATCGTCTCCGGCGATCGGGAAATACCCATTTCAAAAACGAAAATGACTGTTCAACATTTATCGAGGTCACAAGCGCATATCTAAAACTGTCGAAGTTTTTAATAGATGCTACATATTTTTACTAATGGTGGCGAAGGATCAACTACTTCACATTTTAATAATTCCACTATCCGTGTCATTATACAATAACATATACATGTCTGTCCTCTAATCTGAAGCTTCGCATCGATCAATTTATTCAATATGTATCTAGTGACGGGGCAAGTGAACAATCCAGGTTTCTTGCTGAGGAACGTTGGCCGAACATTTCATTGTCGTTTGTGCGTGGTGTGAGTGAGTTTGAAGCTTTGTTTGGTCGAGTGTACAGCAAGTGATTTTATCAATAGCAGTAGAATTACTAAAATTATTGAATTAATGGCATCTATCAAGCTTTCGACGTTTTTTATTAACTTCCAAAAAAAAATTGCAAAATTTGAAATAATTATAACAAAAGCGCTTTTAATAACGATTTAGCAAATCTAATTTTAAAAAGTATATTTCATATAAAGCAGATTAATGATAAATTAAACTTTTTTGTGAACTTAAGGTACAAAACTAAAACTAAATTTAAAAGAACGTCTTCTGAATTTATTTTGGCCAGCCGAAATACATCTGAAAAAAGTGCAACTACCTTTATATTTTCCACTAAAAAATCTTGCCGAATTAGATTTGCACCAGGTATGATGTAATATCTACCTCAGTCATAGTGTGCATTCCGTAATTCCCTTTGTACAAAAGGGATTATTTGAAACCTTTGGGGTATTAATACCGCTTTGTTAAACGTATAATTCACAAATACGAGCTCCACAGAATTTACAAAACAAAACTTGGAACAATAACTATTATTCGATGCTAAAATTATAACTCACTTTTGTTTATTTATTAGTTATAGGTATAATTGTAAGTTATACTCAGAACGCGATATTTTAACATAAACTTTATTGTTTTCGTAATTATTGGATATTTTAAAAACAGTTTGCATCAGTTAGCAAATGCTATTTTTGTTAAAAATTATTGATTGTTATTTCATTCATACAAGTTATCTGACAAATATTTTATTTTTAGGTATTTCGTCCTAACCCTTCTTTGCCACAAGAACTAAACCAATGGTTAACCGAAGTCCAAGAGCATAAAAGTGACTTTAGACTAATAAGAGATTCAGCTGGGGAAGAACCAAAGAGCTTATTCCACTTTGATGAAGATTACGATGACGCAGATTCCAAAAATGACGAGGTGACGAGATGTTCTTCAAAACGAATTATTTTGTCTGTTCTTTCTAATTATTTAAGCAAACTAACTAATTGTATTTAAATACCCATAGACTTTGCTTCACTAAAGTAACAAACTATACAGGATGTTACTGAAATAAGTGCTTTCCTTGAAAACGGTGTTAGAGGACACGAAAATAAGCAACATTTGTTAAGCAACTGATGGTCTAAATCATTACGTTCTAAATTAAAAAAAAGAATTCACAGGAAGGTTTAAACAAATCCTAGTGTGGCAACCAGCTGTACCTTTGACATCAAAGTTGCCGCGCGCCGCAGTGCGAAATCGCTGATGGCGGTTCTGACGGTTTAAATTTTATGTTCGAAAATTTATTCAAATCTCGTTTAAAAGTAACAGAAAAATTAAACGAATAAATGAATTACTGACCAATGGACGATATGCTCTACAAAATGTCGTGAGTACTGCGCCTCGGGTTTTCCTCAACGAGGTTTATGATGTTTTCTTCGTTGTCCAAAACATGTTGGGGCATTTCCCTTCCACGACCTTCACATGTCAGGTGGACATTCCCGGTATCCCGTAACCTTTGAGCAGCCTTTTGCACTTTTCTACTGTTAGGTTGTCGCCTGTTACGGTAACGGACCACACAAAACGACAAGTCTCAATTAAATTGTACTAACATTCTCCGTACATTAACACCATATCTTCTAGTTGTTAAGAAAACATTTTACACGTCAGCTAAGTAATACTGCAACACACAACGCACGTACACAAGATGCACAGGGTCGACTTATTTTAGAAACACCCTGTATAAGTTGTTAGGAGGAATCGACCCATACAATAAACTAATTAAAATTAATTAATAATTGCAACAACAGACAATATAGCTTGCCGTTTAGCTATCTTGTCTGTGATTCAGCATACTTATATTCATTTTAGGACTACGACAATGTTTCTTTAAAACGCAGCCATAAAAATGAAAAGAGCGAAAGCTTGGGCGAGAGACCAAAAAACGATATATATCCATATATGTTTCAAAATCTCAACGATAACGATTTAAGTACTTTCGATAAAACTTCAGTCAAAAAGGAAAGATTAGCCTCCAGAAACTTAAAAAGTCCAATTCGACTGCGAAGATCGTCCAACAACGTACGATTTTTTGAACCAAAAGATACTATTAGCGTAGAACCGGCAGGAAAAACTGGTGAACTAAAAAGATCGGACGATAAATATCCCGACAGCCACAACAGGAACGAAGAAGATAATATTACCGACGCAAACAATATTACACAAGAAACAACAGCTTCAAAATTCAACGACCTGAAAAAACGAGAGATACAAATAGACATAAAAAACGATGGCAAATTAGTGAAACAGATACATGAAGATTCGAAGAATTCTAAATCAATAGTTCTCAACATACAACCCCCCACGAATGATCCGTTAATAAATCCCAAAAATCTTGTACCAAATTTAAATTACGCGAAGGGGTTTCAACAAAACTCTCAAGACCTATCCAATAAATTACGAAACGCACTAGATATGAACATGCGGTCAGATTACACCCAGCTAAGAAATAAGGAATTTGTAAACAACTACAACAATCTCTTCACCGCTAACGAACACCTGAACACTGATAATAGCTTAGCACGCGAAAGCTCAACCTTTAGTCATTTGAACCAACACATGGCTGCACCAGATGGGAAATCGGTGCGTGATTATAATTATCCTTACGTCCCTCAATACCACAACTACGAACCCATTACAACAGTAAACACAAATAGTATCAACGATAAACAGTCCTTCCCTCAAAATAATTTCAACAGTAACAACATGAAAGACATGAGCAGTTTTTGGACAGCTTTCGAAAAGAATCAAATGCAGAAGGGATTAGACAGAGCAAGAATTAACAAGAATTACCTAGCACAAAACGTTAAATCTCCCTTAAAGGACGACGCAGGAAAGAAAGCTAAGGAAAGTGCTAGTGGATTCGAACCAGCGCAAAGAATCGAATTGGATGACGATGCTGACGAGAATAGTGGCATAAGAGGTGTAAGTAACATAGACGACAAGCATCAGATGAGTTATTTGAAAACATTGTGTGACACGAGTTGTAACAATAACAACGGCATAAATAACCCAAATTGCGCTGCTTGCTTGAATAGGATAAATTCTGTAAATAACTTAAAAGATATGAATGTGAATAGTATAAATACTATGAATAACCCCAATGACGCAAAATTGGCGAATGGATTGCACAGTTCGAATATTGTGGCAGGTACGAATAGTTTGACTAATATCAGTGGCTTAAATGGTTTCAATTATGACCTAGGACTAAGCCACCAAGAAAGCAATAAATTGACAGGTTACAGCAAATTCAGCAACATCCAAGGTGCTTCAAAAATGGATAACAAGAGACAACTTGTAACACCAGAAAGAAATGTACAGCTGATCAACGACAATAATCTGGAAAAAGTTGTTAATTTTGCAAATTTAACCGGTGGTAAAGATTTAGATTTACTCGACAATGAATTTATACCTCAGATGAAAAGAGATGACGAATCACCACAAAAGAATGTCTTTGAAAAAGTTGCTCCTCTTGAAAAAGATAATTGTACAGTTGGTTTAAACGAGAACTTTCCTACCAACCCAGTGGAAGGAAATATTGAACCTGTCAATTTAGACGAATTGCCAAAGAAAACGGACATCGAACCACCATTAAATGACACGGGAGGAACTAACAATCTAAGCTATGACAATATATTAAATGAGAAAGTGGTTCATGTAGAAGATGAGGTACATGTCGTACAAGATAAAACCGATAACAACGAAAATTCTTCTATAGAGAACATCGGACCAGTTGGAGCTATTGAAAACGAAATACCAAGCGATCCTATTGATGAAGTCCCTGAGGCATATGAAGAGAATCTTTTACCAAAAGAGAACATTATTCTGCCAGGGCATCATCATCACCATCATGATAAGCACATCAAAACTTTAATCCGTAAACTAAATAAAGACGTTAAGAATGATAACAGTGTAACAGAAGTAGAAACTATTACAGAAATCGATTATCCTAGTGTAGAGGAAGACGAGAAGGGAGGGGAGAATATAAAAGAAACAGAAAATGAAACTAAAAAAGATAATAATTTTGAGACTGAACATTGTTTGCACGTCCTTCCTAACACTGATTTAAAAGAGGCTCTTCACGAAAAAGAACCTTTAATGGATAAGAAAGAAGACTATGATGAAAAAGGGTACATGAATTCAGAACAAAGGGAAACTTTAGAAGATTCATGCCTTGAGCCCCAAGAAAATCAAGAAGAACAACAGCATAACGAAGAAGATATGAATATACATTCCTGTGATGAGTCTCAGGGGAATTTAAAGGAAGAACATCTCCATCACGAAAAGCAAGATAACCCTGACAATGAAATTATAACAGATATTAACCATAACAATCATCAACATAACAACGGAGAAATGTACCTTCTTCTTGAAAAAAGTCATAATCATGTGCCACATGAGAATCGTCTTAAGAATGAAGTAAACGTGTCTCACAAAAAAAGTAATTTTCAAAATAGGAGAAAGATGTATCAACGTATTCCTCAAGAAACTGGTTTAAATCAAAGATCTTACGGTTTTAAAAAACGAAAATATATTGATAACAGAGAAAATAGATTTTCCCATAACTCTTATAATGATTTCAAGGAGTCACCCCCACCAGCACAGCTAATGATCAAAAAAAGAGACAACAGCGATACCAATCACCCAAGAAAGAGATATAGAAAGAGGCACCACAGGGATAGAACATTTTTTGACGACTTCAACTCACAAGAGTACGAGAATATTTTAAGCGAAGAAAGGGACGTGGATACATCTAGCAGTTCAAATGATTTAATTCCAGCTTACGTTGGGAGACAACTTAAAGAGGTTGACTACGTCTACGATCCTAATTTGCACGGACCTGGAGTAAATTTCGACGACGAACTATCAACATTATTGGAAGAAACTGTGTCGGAAATGAATCATCAACACATACCCACTACGCGTAAAAATAATCCGACAAAGAAAGGCCACCATACAGGACTTATACACAAAAATTCAGTTGAAGGTGATTATAATGAAGAAGAAGATTCTGTCACAGAAACTCGAAAGAAAAATAAGAACGTTATAATTAAGAAAACTAAAAATGAATTTGCAAATCCCGTAACAACTACGGAAATTCAGGATTATGAGGACTACGACAACTATGACTCAGAAGATTCCATAAGGAAAGAAAAACTTAAACCAAAGCATAAGTCACGAAAGCATAAAAAGGGTAAACAAAAGGGTGCTTCTAGAAAAACTCGAAAACTTCCAACACAATTAAAGGAACATGATGTAAAAGGTTTTGCTCACCATCGTCAAAAGTATAAACCTAAAATAAAAAAGAAACATCCACGTTCTGCAATCCCAAACAAATCTAACTTTCCACTGTATCAGTCCAACGCAAATAAATTATCTAATCAGAAATTCCTCGACGCCAAATCTGATTTTCAGCATTGGCCAAGCTTTGTTATAGACGACCAAGATAATGAAGAAAAGTTAAAAAAAAGATCTCCCGTAATAAAAAAGAAATATCCCAGAGCATTCAGTTTCCCGTTATCATCGAAAGATTTTTTCGTAAAATCGCAGAAAAAGCCTGGATCCTCAGAAGTTAAGAGGGAAAAACCGAACACCTTACTGAGTGAAGAAAATCTTGGAAGCGAAAGTTCATTACCTCAGGTCGATATTGTCGATAAAGTTGTACCAAAGAACGAAGTAAGTTCTGTGGGGACGACAACAACTGCGGAAGAAGTCACCGAGATCTGTAGTACTCAGCAGAGTTCTATAACTAATGTTTGTGAAGATAAAGAAAATTTTAACAAGACTTCTGTGCAATTAACGACCATCCTTTCTATAATTTCGGAATCTTCATCGGAAGTTCAGGATGCGGTAAGTTTGAGTATTGTAGTACTTTGTGTTTTAGAAAAATATATATGTTTATTGAGAAGGAAACTGAACTCATTAATGATTTTAAGATGCCAAAGAATGAGCTATTAAGCCATAAAAATTACTTTGAAAATTGCGCTCAACATAATCTACTGGACGATGATTCACTTCGGATATTCAGGTCAATTTAGTATGTCTTTTTAAGTTTAACTTACACTTGCTTTGTTTAATAGTTTATTTATATACTATTATTTGATTTAGGCACTCTTAATATAACCTACCCTTATTCAGTTTTTACGATAATTGGATAGTATATTTTTAGGAGAAAAAAGTATTGTGTTTGGGTCTGAAAATTCTTGACTCATAAAATTCAAACCTCATGTTCAATAGCACATATATTGACAACAAAGCGAGCTCAATAGCTTGGCAGCTTAAAATCAGTAACGAGTTTAGTTAGTTCACCAAAGCGTAAGATTCTAGAAGATCTTGTGTAAAACTGATAAGCATAAAAAATCTGCCCTAAACTGCAACTTTGTGTGGGCAGGAGCTCCGTTGTGCGCGTACCACATGTTTTCACGGACAGTTAATGGTACCTCTTCAAGCAGTATTTAGAGTTGCTCATTTAAAAATCTCATCAGATATTTCTCTGCACCGAAACGGACCAATGAGATAATGAGTGAATATTGTGATGGGTTACTAAGCCATATCTTTGAAATATGTGTTACCGATACACAAATATCCGTATTAAGTATAAATGCGATGAGTTCTGAATTTATTAACAAAAATGTTCGTTTTGGACGTTAATATTCCTAGAGATATTAAATCCGAAATACTAATTTATAAAATCAAAAATATCTCCCCAATGCAATGGTTGGGAATCTCTGGTATCATTTGTGTCCCTTCATTTAAATATACCCTGTATATGACATGTATCATTACACAGATACCGGAATGGCAGGATATCTGGGAATATTCATGGGGTATGGTAAAAGTAACGCACTAGGGGTGTAGGATTTTCCCTGTTTGGTAACCTTGAATTTGACCTGGACCATGACCTTCAAGGTCATATCAAGGTCACGAATTTATTCAGGGATGGCCAGAAGTACGGAATAAAATTTATATCTTTTGAATGAGTAAATTTTTTTTAAAACGCCGAAACACGTTAACTGATTTTGATTTTTTCCCATCTTTCGGGTATATAATAATAAATTTTTCTTCAACTCCCTAACCCCCAGCTACCCCTACTTTTTTTTTCAAATGAAAACATAAGGCATGAGGGGGCTCGTTGAAAAGCTTATAGAAAACCGAATCCAGCCATACCAAATAAACAAGTTTTATTTTTTCAATAGCAAGGTTTTTAGGGTTGTATAAAACACCTACTCAACAAGTGAAATAAAATTTAATTATCTTCAGTGTT